GTTTCCCCTGTGAAATCCTCATGGATCTAATGTTTTTCTTATTCCTGTGTCATGGTGGGTCAGAGCCCAACATGATCATTTGAGTTAGAGCCACAAAAAGGATTTTAGTTGCTTGCTGAGTAAGGTCTGGTGCTCTGGTGAAATGCCCCTCCAACAGCAGTGTCCCTGCTCTCCTGTCAGGCCACGGATCTGATCTTTGTGGAGAAATTAGATCAAGTTAATTTGCTCTCCACAATTACTCTAGGAATATAATAGTCATATTGACAGAAAAAGGATGATATCCTCAGGTGAAAGATGTTTGTCTTAATGTGGATGCACTAAATTTCTCAAATGACAAGTCAAGCAGCAGCTTGGATGGAGAAAAATGTTTGCTTTCAATTGCACTTTTATCATGCTTAGGTGAGACAGAGGTATGAAAGAATAGTTTCTTCAACATAAAATTATCATTATGCTTTGTTTCAGTATACGCATCCAATTCTATACTCTTGAATTACACACTCAGGCTAAACCTATGTTCAAGCTATTTTTCTGACTGCTAACTGAAGTTGCTCCGTATTTCACTGACCTAAACCCATGTGTTCGAGTGTGCTTCAGTTGTAACAACGGCTTTGCTCGCACTGACACAGGTCAGTTTGACTTTTTGCCCAGTACTTACGTAAGAAGTGAGTATAAAAACCCCAAGGGTTTATGAAATTTGATCTGTACATCTTGTATTTGCTGCCCAAAGCTATTAATTGATGCCCAGACAGAATGAACAACACAAAACACTTCCTACATCTTGGGAACTAAGTGTAGACTTGGGAGGACTGTTTAGAGTATTATTACTCTTTTTTTGATGTTGTTCTTAAGCATACAGCAAAGAAAGTAGCATTTTATGAAAAACAGAATATTTTTCCCTATAAAAGCATATCTTTTCATTTTAATAAAATAAATGAAGTTATTAATCACGGTAAGTCCAAGTGTTTATTCATTGATGGAAAAACAAGTAGTAGTAGCCAAACATGGTAAGAAATGTTCCTGTTTTTCTTTCCCCTTGTTTTTGTTCACCTTCCAGGTTACTTTTTAGCATTTTGTCAGAAATTGGTGTAAGTTTAGTAGCAAATACACAATGGAAAATAAGATTTTAAACCCAAGAAAACTGGCAGCCAGACTAAGGGCCAAGTGAAGCTGTTTAACTTTGTATTTTTTAAAAGCTCTTGAGATTTGCATTATCAATATCCATTTTATCAGGAAGTTTTGTGTTCTTTGGCAGTATGCATATTTAATTCTTGTCTAATAGCACAAAACCTCTTTGCTGTATTTGTCAAAATTGGTAGATGACACATATCCTGGTCACCAAGCAGAGGCAACCATTGCTGTGATGCCATCTCTCCTCATAGCTTTCTAACTTTCCATACAGGCCTTCTACTTAGGATCACAAAGATGTGACATAAATGCAAAGATACTTAAGGGGAGAAATTTGTCTGGTAAGGTTTAGCATTGAATGCAGCTTTCATTTTAAGTCAGTTTCTACCCAGGGCTATGGGATAAACAAAGGTTTCCCAGTTCTTTTTCCATAGCCAAAACTTAGATCTTTCTGATATTTAAAGAAACAAAACACCAAAACCAATGACAAAATCCTGCCTGAAATTTTAGAGTTTAGAACCGTGTTCCATAGGTGCAGTATTTTAAATATCACTTTGATGTGTTGCAGAAGCAATCATGACATCAAAAAGTTGTTTTTCTCTCAAGAAATATTATTAAAGGACATGAGTGTTAACTTGTAAAATATGAAAACTGAACACCTGAAGATAATTATATCTTTTAATGTTTTCAGGCTGACTCAGAGTTAATGGGAAATGGGAACTGTATTAGATTGGCAGATGATTAGTAGAATTTATCATTATAATATGCTTAGCATAATAAGCATGGTGGTCTTTGTTATTCAGTGACAGTTTGTGTAGTAATTTTTTCATTAAAAGACTATGTCTGTCAATAAATATATTCATCAGATCAAGATTGCCATGCTAACACATCTAGTTTCAAAACTATTAGCTTTCTGCAATGAGGTGAGGCACCAGTAGTCTTCAGATGCTGTACAAAAGAGACCTTGAGCAGATTTCACTTGAGAACATGAAGTTTATAAAAAGACCAAGACAAATCCCAGTAGCAGCTCCACCTGTACGTAAGTCAACTTGAAACACGTCCAGGCAGGTTATGACAAATGAGCTGAAAAGTCTTTTCCTTTTGTTGATAAACTACACAGGTCATGGTTATGTACAGAAGGAGTGATTGAAGGTTTCACAGACTTAGAACATCTCTTTCAGAAATTGTGTGTGTTCCACATTGTGTATCTGGCTGTAGAATAGAAATTGTCTCTGTTTTGTTTTGTTTGTTTTTTTTTCGTTAGCAGCAGTTTAAAACACTTTATTTTGGTATTAACTCACTTGTTTGAGACTGGTGCTATGAAATGTTCGTACAAACAGTAGTCAGTAACATCTCAGTTCAGTACCAGAACAGTAGCAGTTGAAGCTGCCAGAAAGAAGTGTTCATATTGCTTGGATTAATAGCTGAGATGAATATTTTGTCTATATTGCTCATGATGGGATGCAAGGAGATACCAGTCTTACTCTAGTCCCTTCTCATCTGCCAAGGAAGTAACACCCTCTCTTCCTTAAAAAAAGCCACATTTACCTCCCAATGATTGCATTAGTCATCCACTGGATTGAGATTATTTGTAACTGTGGTAAGAACTTGGGCTTTGAATTTTCTAAATATACAGAAGGTGGAAGAGAATTGAGCAATTCCTCTCATTATCTCACAGAATAATCTCACAGGGTGTAGCATTGCTTGAACTAATGGCCCTCAAATAGTAACTTATCAAAGCTGCTCAGAGATTCTTGCCACTACTATAAAAAGACATTTGGCAATAAGCAGTACGTCATATTAAAAGCACAGCCATTTACTAGAACGTCAGTGTGCTAACATACTTCACTTACAAACCCTTTAATGGCATCTGGTTCTAGAAACCTAAGTAGATAACTTTTGAGTATCACAGATAACTATTTCTGAACGCTATCATTTTAAAGTAGTTGTTTCTTGACATGGGTGATGCATAAATGCAGTGATTTATTTCTGTCAGTCATTTCACATGACCTCTCAGAGCTTTTTGGTTAACACTAAGAACTGATGACTCTCTTGCAGAAAGTTTGTTAGGGTGCACCCATTGTGCAGTTAAACAGAGAAACACATCACATGGTTCAGTCTCTGAGTTGCTTCTTGACTGCAGTTTCCTACTCCAGTCAGAGCTCATATGCTTCCTTCCTTCCGCTCCCATAACTAATGAACATATTTAAAACATTACTTCCCCACCTCTGCAAGAAGGTTGCTAGATGTTAAGATTCCTATGTCTTCCTCTTGCACTGCTGGAGTGTCTTGACTTTTTCCCCCCTGGTTCTTGCTGTTGCACCTCGTTAGTCTTGCTTGCAGGTGATGTGCCTCATGACACTGGTGCAGGGTTGGTGCTGACTTGTTTGGTGGCTTCCAGCTATAAATGGAGTCCTTGTGGGTCATCATCTGAGTGTTTGCTGTATTGAGGATAGCAGGGAAGATAAAATTATAGAATGGTTTGGGTTGGAAGGGACTTTAAATGTCATCTAGTTCCAAACCCTGACACCTTCCACTATAGACCAGCTTGCTCATAACATGAAAATAGGTCATATAAGCAGAAGATGGATGTATTAATTTATGTTTTCAAGAGTGTTACAGCTTTCCATGCAGGTTGCACTGAACTTGACTTTCACTTGAAGTAGTTGCAACTTCATGAGTAGCCTGCTTCTTTCATAGTTTGCTGAAATTAAAGTCAAAATCTGTAAACTGATCCTGGGATTGCTGAGTGGTGGATTTGGGCACCTTTAACATCACTTGGCTGAGGAAGAGGTGTTATTGCTGTTGAGGTGAAAGGTGCATTTCCACTCCCCTGATGGACCAGCTAATTCTTGAGTCTCACTTAGATCTGTGGTTTGCATATGCTTGATTACGAGATGTCTCTTAAGCAGGTGTTGATTACAGAGATCATCGAGGAAACACAGGTGCCCAAGTATCTGTTGAGCAAAAGGTCATTTAACATGTCCAAGTGTAGGCAGAGCTGGGGGCTCCCTGGAGCTGTGACTGGGAATTCATTGTTCCGTAGAGCTACATTTTTATATAATTACAGTAATAACAAATACAGTAATTAATAACATTAAATGCATCAAGTAATTATATACTTTATAGATTTGATTTAATTCATTGTAATTACGTTAATATTTTAACTGAATTGATGCTAGCAATATATTAATGTCCTAACATTAAATAATTTATTTGCCAACACAAACCTGACCACTCTCAATTCAAATGTTCAGATTTATTTTTTTTTTTTAGAAGAAATAGAAATCCTGTGGAATTATAAGAGGAAAACAAAGCAAACAAAAAGCAACCACCACAACACCCCAAAATCCACTGTAGTCAGTAGTTCAGGTATTGTTCTCAGGGGCGTTCTCACACTGAAGGTCTAGTAGACCATACCAAAAGGTTGTTGTGAAGTCAAAGTTAAAACATTGGCTCGAGTATAATATTGACCGTTAGGAGACAAATTGTTATCCTTTGAGGAAGTACATTTAAGCTTGTTTGGCTGGAGGATAGGGGTCTGTCTCTCTGCTTTGTGTGACTGAGGTCTAGGTTTCATTCTCACTTTCTTGTTCTTTAAGATGGAAAGTGGGGAGCATTATTAAAAGCCAGGCTTTAGTGGCTGAGGCATGTAGCTCCCAAAGTTAAAAGAGACTCCCATAACCGGCTGGGGACCAGCATTGAGTGGAACCTCCTGGATTGCAGTGAGGCTTGAATTCTCTATGCTTTGTGTGTGGCAGGGGACCTCCCAAGCTAATAAAGGAAAAATGTTAATGGAGTAAATGACAACATGAAATATTTGAGAATTGTTTCTGTGTGGGAGCTTAAAATCCCTTTTTCTTCCTCCTTTTCAGAAAGAAGACACAGCTCCTCCAGCAAGCCACCTTTGACTCCTCCCTCCTCTTCAGTATTTTCCCTCATTTCATCCTTCCCTTCAAAAAACAAAGGTAGCTGTGGAAGTGGGAGCAATCGTTCATCCAGTGGAGGTACTAGTGCATCATCATCAAATTCCAAGGTGTTGAAATCGCCCAAAGACAAGCTGCAGATGAGCGGAAACAACAGGTTAATGCATTCGGTACAGCATAGCAAAGTTCCCCATGATAAAATGTGAGTATGCCTTTTGACAAAGAACTAAATGTTATTACTTGCATAGACACTGCTGTATCAGTAGAATTTCCTTTGTGTTTCAGAGGAGTTTGTATGAAATCACTTTAAACTTCTCCAGATCTTTTCCAGCAGCCTGGTCTAAGATTATAACATGATCATGTTATATACATTATGATATATATGTCATGATATAACATGACTATGTTGAACAAGAATTCTTGCAAAACTGCATCTTAAATCACTATAAATACAAGCCATTCTATTAGAGGCCCTTAATTCTTCAATCTGTTGTGCACACCTTGATCATAAGGGGGCTCTAGCTCTGATTCAGGTGAGTTTTGACCTGCACACATGAGATTACACAACTGGTAATATAATCTACTGTCACAGAACAGGGCATTTCTCACTGGACACAGCTGGCTCATTCCAGTTGCTTTGGTAATAGGTTTATTTGTGAATCCAAGCAACTGTTTCTGAATTCTCTGACTCACTGAAATACTTACAAGAAAATGAGGAAAAGAGGTCAGAAGAGATTACAGACATGGTAAAAAAAGTGAAAACAAAGATAACAACAAAAAATCTGTGAATAAAGGAGGAAGGCCTCCATTTGCATTGTGAATAGATTGGAGTAGTGTTGAGTAATAACATATTAAGTACATTTATAATTTATGACTGTAATTTTCAATTTCTTCCCCCTTTTTTCCATAAATAATAGTATGACTCCATCTGTCAAAGTGGAAAAGATTCATCCAAAGATAGATGGTGCCCAACTGAAAGCTGCTGTTGGTCCAACTTGTTCTACTACTGTGAGTTCCTCAATAAAGACTGGCCTTAATTGTCCCTCAATACCAAAGCCACCCTTGCCTTCCCCTGGACAGATACTGAATGGTAAAGGTCTTCTCTCTGTGCCTCCGTTTTTGGAAAAGAAACCTGAAGAAAATACAAATAATAGGAAATTTTTACATAAAAGATTGTCAGGTAATTGTTTTTAATTATTATTTCCTATATTTCTCTTAGTAGTGTATCTATAGAAACACATACACAGAATATATAGAAATAAGCTTCAGAAGTAAATTAAGCACTTTTATAACATTAACTTGTAATTATATATGGTTTATATGTTAGAATTTAAATGTATAATTGGACATACTCTTAAAGAACACAAACAACTTGAAATGTGGATATTGCTTTCAGAAACCATACAGACCTCTAAGGCCTGTCAGTTCTTACAGTTATAAAATTACATTGAATTACTATCTTTAAGTATTTTCCTTTCCTTCTTTCTATATGGAAGGTCCAAAATGTACATAGCAAATGGAATGACTAGCACCTTAAAAAATGGAAACCCTGTCCGACCTTTACACTTTCTAAGTGCAGTAACTTTGAGCGTTAGTGGAATGGTAGAAGAGTTCTCAACACCCAAAAAACCACCATTTGTCACACTTCATATTGGTGGTGTACTCTAATCCTAAAATGTAGGATCTACTCCTTCAGGGTCCCTTATAGCTGTGAATGTCTCTGTTCTGTTTGTAGACTTGAGATCTGTATCTCAGCACACCATAAGCTTGCTGAGAATGTAGACAATATTGTGTGCAATTTTATTGTGCAGTTTTATTGGTACATTTGAAAACAGATTCCAGTCTGGTTAATTTTTATAATGAAAATAGATGTTAGTATTTCACAATGTCTTTTGATAACTTTTCAATACTGTGTACCTTTGACAGAGAGAGAATTTGATCCTGATATATACTGTGGTGTCATAGATGTGGAAACCAGGAAACCTTGTACTAGGTCTTTGACATGCAAGGTAGGATATCTCAATCAGAAGAAAATTATGTAAAGTTTTAATTCAATTTCCTGAGGAATATGACAGAAAATGGAAAACTCCAGATTTCTGCTGTCAGTAATTACCACTTTAAATGGCACCTCTCAAAATATGTTGCCCAAAACTGAGAAGGAATTGGTTTTGAAGTTCAGTTAATGCTTTATTCAAACACTTATTTTTTAAAGTAACTCAGAGGTTTGTATTTCTGTATAAACCTTTTAAACATGGATATTGACATGGGGCAGATTATGTTCCTTTGCGTGTAGGTAGTAGGGGGTCAGCATGATCTTTTCGGGGATATCTTTTGGGTCATAAATGATGAATTTTAAAATTCCTCGTGAGCATTGAAAGTATTTGTTTATGCAGGATTTAGATAAATCAAACTCCTTTCCCCCCAGCAAAGTCTGCAGCAGATACTTAGGAGGTATTTGTGTAAATGCTCATGCTGCCTCATGTACCGCTACAGCCAACCCAGAAATGAGTTTTAGAGTTAGGAACTCTAAATTAAGCAACCCATAAAATCTTTTTGGTCAGATGAAATGTTTCCTCTGGCTCAAAAATCTTGGGGAGTCAGATGCGGAGAGGTATCAGTCCCAGGGAACCAAAAATCCAGATCCCTACAACTGTGTAGTATCAGCTACTGTTCAAAGCAGCTGAACTGTCAGTAGGGGAATCATCTGGTAAATAAACTACCTACAGAACAAAGGTAAATGAAGCTGGTCCTGATGTCCCAGAGGAGCTGAACTTGAACACATTGCCCTTTTGGAATTGCAGGGGGAGGCAATTGTTTTGCTACTAAAGGAAGGAAAAGCTTCAAGATTTTACAAGAGATCTAGGCAAATCAAAAATGTAAAGTAGAAATGAAGTAAAAATGCTTCTCAGCAATTCCTTACATTATACTTGTTGACATTATTCCTGTTGGAATAGCTGTTTGTGTTTGAATTACATAATGGTAATTTTTATCTACGAAAATTGACCCAAGGAAAACTTTTATACCATATGAAAAAAGGTATTGTATGTGAATTAAGAATTCACAAAAATAACTTCCATCTCTTTCACTTTACCTAGAATTCGTGCCATATAAACATGTAGCATTCAGGATACTCAGAGGACTTTGAATTCTGTCTCACTCTGCATTCTGCTCTGTTGTTTTGCATTCCTTCATATCTATTTGATAGCATTAGTTTTTAAGGAGTATATTATTATACAGAAGGAAGCAGAGTATTTTTACAAATATTTTTCCTGTCTTTCATTAGATTTAAATATCGTGTTAAATATTTTTGTAAGTGAAAGTACATACTCAGTATGTTTGTTTGTGCAGTAGTTGGCAATTAAAATACCAGTGTGAAAAATATTTTTGGTTCTAGTCTTAACCTTAGAAGAACTTTGGCAGCTTCTTCTTTAGAAAGAAATTTGAAAGAAGCCTTCTACTTTCATCAGACAGGGATATCATCGTCCACGCAGCAATCTTAGTTTGGTTTCTATGATTCTTCCATTTATTTGCTGAACCGTGAATGTGACAATTTTCTGTTTCAGAGCTCTAGACACATGCTTTGAGTGTTTGATTTCCACAAATCTAATAGCCTGGGATTAATGATTTATTCATGGTTTTGCAGACACATTCCTTAACCCAGCGGAGGGCTGTACAGGGTCGAAGAAAACGATTTGATGTGTTATTAGCTGAGCACAAAAGCAAAACCAGGGAAAAGGAACTTCTTCGACATTCGGATCATCATCAGCAGATGCCCCCTCTCAGGGAACCACATCCCTCACCTACTAAAACTTCCCAGGAGCTGCACCAAAATTCTCATGGAGTTACTCTTACAGAATCAAAGCCTTTATTACCTAACAAACCCAAACCTCACCCCCCCAGTCTTCCAAGGTAAGAAAAACCTGCAGATCCCATGGTATGAAATTAATCCTGGTAGCTTCATCAGGTGGATTTTGAAAGAGCGATACAGATCTGTTGGACAGGGCGGAATTCTTGCTCTAGGCCTGGTGACCGTACAATTAGCAATTACATGCTGAGCTGTAACTCCTAGCAAGGAGGGTTTGGTGTTTGAAATAGTAAAAGCAGTGTCAACTGACTGCTGACAGTTCAGCAATGGTTGGGCAATGCTGCTTTTCCAGGGGTACCAGACCTCCTGTCCTTCCTCCCAGTGGATGTATTATGAGACTCTGGAAAATACCGGAGATCTGTTAATGTAGATTTCCTTCTGTTGGTAGTAGTAAGTGTTTAAGCTTGGAATTTTTAACTAGATTTAGTTCAGTAACACCTTTCCTGCTTGCCTTGCCTAGGCTTCCAGGCTGTCCAGCCCAGCACAGTGGAAATGCCCCTAGTGAGTCTCCTTCTGTCCACGAGTCCCCGCACCCTCCCTTGCCTGCAGCTGAGCCAGCATCTCGGTTATCCAGTGATGAGGGCGAATGTGATGAAAAAGAAGAGCCTGTTGAAAAACTGGATTGTCATTTTTCAGGTCATCATCCTCAACCAGCTGCTGTACGTTCCCAGTAAAACTTAACCTTGGTCTCTCACTGGCTCTGAACTTGCAAACAAATTACTTGAGGGGGGTTTAGGGGTTGTTTTGTATTGGATATGCTTGGGGGTTTTCCCTTGATTTTAAGAAAATCATTTTGTTGCACAGTAGGCAGTGAAGGTTTAGCTGTACTTGTAAAATAAATGTGCTAAAGAACTGTGCTTGCAGATCACTTCCTCAGAGTCCAAAAGAAATCGGAACACAAAACGCTGAGGATCAAATTGGTAACTGCTTTAAAGGGCTGCGGGTTTGGAATAAAAACATGTAAACGGTGCCCTTTGGGTGAGATTTTGTTACTGGACTTTCTCCCCCCACCCCGCATCCCCCACCCCATTCATGCACACATTTTTTACTTCAGGTGCCATTCGTCACAGTACAGGTAGCAGTGATGTGTTAGTTTAATAATCAAGTCTTGACAAAAGCTTAGTCTAAAAGCACAAGCTTTATTAGGTGCCTGTATAAAAAATTATCTCCTTTGCAGAAAAATACAGACTATGAGCAGAGAGCTGATAGCTCCTCTGAAGTAGATCTTACATGTGTATATATTTATATAAACACAAACTAATATCCTTCCCTGTTCAATCAGAGGGATTTAATTTTGACCACTGCTTTTGGTCATAATCATGGGAGTATCAGAAGGGAAGAAAATGATCATAATAAAAATGGTGTTACACCATAGAAATAAAAAATTTAATTTATATTTTTTAATCTTTTACTTAAACATCTAAAAACATACTCATTTAGCAGGATTTATTTGTAAATAAACTGTTATTCAGTGAGTTGTTACTAAAAGTAGAAAACACCAACAAAAATCTGTTCTTTCCAGTTTTGCACATTTGGTAGTCAGCAGATTGGAAGAGGTTATTACGTGTTTGACAAGCGGTGGAACCATATTCGATGTGCACTTGACTTCATGTTGGAGAAGCATATTAATTCACAGATGTGGAAGTGAGTAGAAGTGAAAGACTTCTTATTCTTCTTGGTATTTGTGGAAATATGTGAAACCTGTGGTTCTGGTTAAAGAACAGTAACCTTGTGTTCAGATTAATTGGATCTATAGTTGATAATCTGCTTTACATATTTTTGCAACAATTAACTATCAGTTTAATATAATGTTAGTGGCATTAATCAGCCTCAAGATACACTTTAATGTAGCATTGTTAGACTTAATATTATTCCAAAGAACAGTAGCTCCGTAGGTTTTCACTTGTTTTTCTGTTCACCTGTAGGAAAATTCCTCCAGCATCCAGTAACACAGCATCAGTTCGTGCACCTCATCGGACAAACTCGATGCCTGCTTCGCAGTACGGTGTCAGTGCAGCAGGTTTCCTCTTACCCACCACAGTTATGTCATCGCCAGCGTTGGTATCTCCTTCCTGCGTGTCTCTGAATAATAAATCAGTACCATCACATGGAACGACACTAAATGCCAATCCTGCTACTTTGGGTGCAGTGGATCCTGTCTGCAGTATGCAATCAAGACAAGTGTCTTCATCCCCTTCAACACCTACAGTGCTTTCCTCTGTACCTTCACCTGTGCCCAGCAAACCTCAGAAAATGAAATCCAGCAAATCTTTTAAACCTAAGGAATCTTCTGCTGGCAGTGGCACCTGTAACAGCACCGGCAGCGTCAGTAGCAGCGGCGGCTCAGGAAAGAAGCGTAAAAACAGTTCCGCACTGCTAGCACCTTCTCATTCCACAGAATCCTTTAGGAAAAACTGTGTGGTTAACTCTGGAAACTCTGGGACCTCCTATCATCCATCAGTGACAGCTTCGTCCCACAGCGTTGGCCTCAACTGTATGACTAGCAAAGCTAACTCTGTTAGCCTCAAACATGACCAATCAGGGAGGGGTCCTCCGACTGGAAGCCCTGCAGAATCGATAAAGAGAATGAGTGTGATGATGAACAGCAGCGACTCCACGCTCTCCCTAGGGCCATTTGTTCATCAATCCAGTGAGCTGACTGTAAATTCACACAGCAGTTTTTCACATTCGCATACTTCCCTTGACAAATTAATAGGAAAGAAAAGAAAGTGCTCACCTGGTTCAAGCAGCATAAACAGCAGCAGCAAAACAAATAAAGTTGCCAAATTGACATCGGTGAACAATGTTCATGCAAAACACACTGGTGCAATCCCAGGGACACAAGGACTGATGAACAATTCTCTTTTTCATCAGGTAGGAAGTTTTCTCTTGAAGTAAGCTAGGATGAACATGCCTTTTCACTTGCTTTTTTTACATGTGTTCTTTTAATTATTAGCAAGCCAAGTCCAGATCCTATTCAAGTAAAAGATAATTCTCTTACTTGTCCACTACTCATTTAAAGTGGTTTTATAGTACATTTTTGTAAACACTCTCATAAAGTGTAGCTTTATTTCTTCTAAACTTAACCTTAAAATGTTTCTTAGATGTTGCCTCTGAACTGCTCTTAGGTGAAATTCAGTCCTCACATTTAAAAACCCAATGATTTTAAAAGTAAATCTTGCCAGCCAGCCATGGAACTGAGCTGTGTGTCTCAGCCTGACTTCTTGTTTCTGTGTCAGTTATAAACATTCTGCAAAGTGGAACATAATGTTGCTGATAACAGAACTGTGATACTGTGATAAAATAAGCCTATTATCCCAAGGTGTCATTGACTAACTTCTTAGTAATAACGAGATTAAATGTTGTGAATAAGATAGAAATCTTTTTAGTCAATAAAGGAAATAGATTTACTATAAAGGAAGCAGATCTGAATATACAAGATCCCATTTTAAAATTTAGTTTAGGGTTTTGTTTTTTTTTTAGATAAATTGCACTGGAAAAGTAATGTATTGGGAGAGAAAGTTCTTGTAAGCTAGGATGAGAATTTAGAAACTGGTGGCTCAGACTTCTTAATACTATTCAAACTGACTTGGAGGGGAAAAAAAATATTTGATACAGCTTGAGGAGAAGACAGAAGATGGAATTTTAGAACTAGATTTTGTGATTGAAAAACTAAGAAATTTTTTGTTTCCCCTGGTGCTGATAACCCGATGTCTGGGTCCCTGCAGGACCCAGAGGAAGGTCAGGAAGAGCTGCTTCAGAATGGCTTCTTACTTTCCAGTTTCAGCCATAGATGAAGATTTTTCACCATTGTGTTGTGTTCACTGTAACAAAAAAGCATTCAGAGGCTGAATTTCTTTTTGAACTTACCTAGTAGTTTCTTTTTCAACTATGCAGTATAAAGGAGAAGTATAATTTGAGGTGAATTAAGGAAGGAAATCCTGTCTGAAATCATTGTAACTTTAAAGAGCTTTAGCTTGAGAATTGTCAAGTCTTGGAGGAGCCAACCTCATGTTGTTACATACAACATCTCGGAGGATACAACCTTGTATGCATCACATTGTTTCTGCTGATTCTTCCCCAAATATGCTCTTGTTATCCAGAAAATGTCTTTCAAGGGACCTGCTCTAATAGCTGCCTCACTCATCCTTCTCTTTCTTTTGCTTGCTTCAAAGCCAAAGGCACGTCCCTGATAGCTGGATGCACCACGGTGAGAAACAAACTGGACACTTTCCACTACAAGCAAAACCTCCATCTGGATTTCTGGACTCCAAGATGCCTTGAGTTTTCCCAACTTCCCATGGTCCTCAGGTGTGGAAATCTACTGGACTGTCACTTAAACAAGGAATTTCCCTGAAGCCATGTCTGTAGCAGCGAATATACTAGAAATGGACACTGGATGAAGTTCAGCCACATAATTGCTCTTATCAGTGTTAACGGTGGTCTGGACTGTTTGCTACAAATCTGTGAGATTTTACTTACAGGAGTACATCATCTTGCCACTATTGGACATAGATTGGCTGGGCAAAGGAATGTTTTCTGGGAGGAAATAAACGTTACTGTGGACTTATTTTTATACTGATGGTGTCTTTTGTAGGTGATAGCTAACCAGACAGACACCCTCAATGGAGAAGACCCTGTGACAAGGGGGAAAAATGTGTGAGGCACAGGGGAAGGAAGCCCTCGAGAAGGGAATATGGCTTTAGTGTTCTTATAGCAATGTTCCTTTAATGGAATATAAAAATAGCACAATTCAAAAACTACTCTGTTTTGCCCAGCCTTTTGCAAGTAATTTGGGATAAGAAGCTATCAGGAGTTTCAAAAAGACAGCAACAAAACAAACCCAACAAAACCTAGAAAAAAACTTGTTTGAAGCCATTGCTTAAAAAAAACAAGTATAAAAATGTTATACTACCATGATACAAACCTTATTTTCTGTTCTTTAGAATAAGATTTGATTGCAGAAGAAAATAAGTTAGGTTTGTTTTTTAAAAGAATCCAAAACCATCCAACAGGCAAAGGCCAATAACCTCTAAAACTGTATGCCCAAAGAACATATTTATTGACCTATGCTGTATACCATAGGCCTTTGTTATTTAAAAGGAATAACATGTATTGGTTAAATGATGCTGGATTTGCCTTCCAGCTGGTAAAAACAGCCCTTTTTAAAGTATTTAAATATTTTCTAAGAAAACCCATAAAAGCCAGTTTGTTTATGCCTTGTTTGTACAGCTATGTCTTTGACATGTTACGCTTCAAAACCACTACCCAGTTCTGGAATAAAGGCCAGTTTAGCAGCAGAGCATCCCACGCCTACCCCAGGCTTTCTGAGTAAAGGGGCTTTACCCAGTTTTATATAGTCCAGTCACTTTTGATGAATGATTTTTCTCTTGCTCCAAAACACCTCAAAAGTGAATTCCACTAAAGGGCTTATTTGTCATGATTTGATCCACTTGGATGTTTTTGTTAAGTTTTTAAACATCAGGTAAAGTTTCAAAACTGACCTAAACTTTCATAAAGGGGGCAAAGCAAAGGCAAACAGATTCCTAACCAAGAAGACGGGGGGTTTTCCTGCCTTAAAGGGGCACCAGCTATTGCTGAGAAGAGACAATCTGAGCCTGTCCAATTGTTTGCGTAGCCCAGCCTCCTCCCCAGTTCTGGTGGCAAGTAGGAAGTACATCAGGGAATCCACAGCCACTCTGAGTAGCAGTTGCGTAGTTGTTTACCTAACGATGCTTTCAGTTTAACCTGAACTTGCTACGAAATCATTGTTATAGCAAAACAACAAGAAGCCTCTATGCAGACACTTTAGCTTTGAATTGGTACAAAAGATCACATTTGAGAAAGCAATGTACTTAGAGACACTTATTATGCAAACTTAAATATAGACAACTTTTCAGGAACAAAAGGATTTGTATTTAATAGGATGCCCTGTTGAAAGGATTTTTGCAACTGCAATTGGGATAATGGGAAAGGAACCAAAGTGATAATGCCACAAAGAGAAATTGGAGTGAAATCCACGCTCCGATGAAGCCCCTGGGGCAGAGCTTCCATGTCGGGATAGCGCCAGTCACAAGTGCAATTTGACTCTCGGTAGGCACAGAGGTAAAGGAAACAGGAATTTTGGCCAAGGTTGAACATTAGCAAGTCTGTGATCCAGTTCTCTTCTGGTCTTTGAATGTTCTGTTGATCTGAAAGCATAATGGCAACCTCATGCTCCTTTGTAGCGTGCAGCCATGTTAACATGGGCATTCCCCACCGCTGCTTCTGCAGTGCCTGTGTTGCTGGAAGCCGTTGGGAATAGAGTTAGAACATCCTAAATCCTGTCTGCCCTTGAGCATAGACCTGCTTCAATATTATGTTTTCGATCTTGGTTACGAGCAGAACATTGTTCCTGAAGCTTTTTTTATCATCACGTACTTCTTACTGTAAATAATTAAGGAAGCTTAACAATTAATTTTTTCCATGCAAAATGGAATTTGCAGTGGCTGGGTTGTTTCTAGACAGATTTTGGTATTAATTTAAGAGATACAGTTTTTATAAATCTTTCCAACTTTGCATTACGACTCCTGCAGTTTTCTTAACCTACAAAATTGCTGCAATGATGAACAAAGAATTATACAAGAAAAAAAAAGACAAAAAAAACCCCATACTTTTGTATCTTTATTTTGGAATTTTCTTGTTCTATTATAAATATTGAAGTATCCCTATTTCAGAAAAGACATATTTTGTTAATTGATTGTACATATTTAAATATGTATTTTTGCACAGGTCTTTTTTTCTTATATCCAGTTTTGGTACAATTGAGATCATCTACTATTTATTTATTAATTAATTAATAAAAAAGAAGAAAAAAGTACAGGAAAAAAAATAAGCAAAGCAAATACCTGGTTTTTTTTTGTCATTTGAAGTGGTTCACTGCCAAGCCAATAGCTCCCAGGCCTCTGCAACGTGAAGGGATGCCTCCGTGCTGTGAAAGCTGTGTCCCTCGTCCTTGTCTTGGGAGCTGATCCATCCTTGCGGTCGGGTTCTGCCACAGGAACCTGGGTGCAGGGTCAGAGCCGACACGGTCAATGCTGGCATTACTTCTCAGTTGCCTGGTTCCCAGATGACTACATTTAGTTTCTAAATGACACACTGCTTCTCTCTTCCCTTTAGTGTCCGTGTGTGTGCGTCGTGTGTGGGTCTCACGTGGTTTCCAACTAACGGAAAAACTGAAAGTGCCTGATTAAAACTAGTTTTAAGCTTGGACTGTTCATAGACAGCTTCTCCTTAAAAGACTTGAATGTTCAGTTGAAACTTTGGAGCTTGCTTTTTCCACCTGTATATAATATATGTGTGCATGTATATATGTATGTGTGTGCGTATATGTGTGTATATATGTACACACATACATATATATGTGTTTTCTGAAATGAATGAGATGACAAAGCATATGATGCTGGTGACTTTTTTAAAACCTTTTTTCATTAGAATACCTTGTGTTGGAACAATCCCATTGATAACTTGTGTTTAATGTAATGCCAAGGGTTTGGAAAATGTGGTTTTAACCAGCTATTTCAGTCTCATTTTGGGAAAAGGGGAGTATGGTATTCATAAATAATCTAAAAGATGGTCAAAAGAATTGGTATCCAGGAAAACAAAACAAAACCCCAAGTAAGTACCTCTTAAAAGCATTCAGAAACAGACATGATTTCCAAATGGCATTTCTAAGGCAGTTGTCTTCCTGTAAGAGTTCTCTTGCCAAGGAATCTCTCTCTTTGTCTTTTACTCATTCTGTCCTGGAGGAGGGAACTGGGCTTAGAAAGACTCTTATAAATGTTTCGCTGTTCAGCAGGAAAGAATCATTTTTACCTTTTGTGCAAAGATATTTTACGTTTGAAAGATGATTTTAACATGAGCACTACATAATGTCAATGTGAATGTAGGCCTTGAAAGCATCTTGCTCGGTGTTGAGCCTGGTTCTAAAAGCAATCTCCTGTGTAAAATGTGTGAATAGTTTGATAATTTGTATACATAATCAAGAGCATCTGATCAGCTGAACCCTGTGTTGGCTGCTGTATAGTACATGAACAAATGTCATGAGATAGAAAAAATTACTTTGGATATTTAAAAGAAGAAAAGAAATATATAGTCTATTTGTTTTGTAACAAGTTTCTGTAAATAAAATAATTTATACTATTTATAAGAAAAAGTTGTGCTTTGCTTCATGACAAAAAGATTAGTTTGTTGAACAAACATGTTACTAAACAAGGCAATAAAATTAGGACTTTTCAATAAATGAGGTTGGTTGCATGGAATACATGATATGTTTCTGCTTCATTCTAAAATCTTTCACCATTAAAAGGAAAAGCATGACCTGTGTTGGTGCCTACGTGAGCTGATTTCAGAGGACTGGATCTGGGCAAGTCCTGCCATCGGCATCACATCTGTACATCCTGCGAGGTTGGGTACGGGTACCTTTTCTGGAGGTACCTACCCTCATAGTCACTGCAGTATTTCTCCTGTATAAGGACATTTTGCTGCTTAAGATTCATTCTTTATATTGTTTCTTGTTTTCTAAAGTAACTCATGAGAAGCAGCTTTTACAGCCCCAAGTGCGGTGTGTGGAATGGTCGCATTTCCTTTTTATTTATGTGGGGTTTTTCCCCCTTCCAAAGAAGTATCTTTGTGTTTTCACTGTTTAAAGACCCGGTGTGTGGATTCATCTGGTTAAATACTTGTTCCTCTGGGTGTGACTCAGGACTCACATGCAGTGGACAACTGAGGAGCATTTTGTAGAGCCAGTTAACTCCTGCTGGTGGGATCAGGCTTCCTGGTTACACCCATGCTGATGCTGCCTTCTCTCTCCCTGCTTTGGTTGGGTTAACAGTAAGAGCAAAATTTTCCTTAGTGTTTAGAATTGATGCTACAAGATACAAACAGGGCTCAGCCAACAGGCAGGTTCTGTTTTGTCTCTGTAGAGTGCTTTTAATATTTCTACATTTACCTCTTGTGTTGACTGAAGGTTTTGTTTGACTCACCTCCCTGCAAATCTCTGTCTTTCCAGTAGCAGTTCCTGGTATCTGCACTGTGCTACGTGTTTGGCACTGGAGCTGGGTGTGCTGAGCTGCACAAGTGATGCACAGGGATGGCGGTTTGCAGAGCGGCAGGACAGGCAAGTGTTTGAGCTGACTCTGCTTCAGAGCTGGGATTAACTTTACATTCAATACAGGGCTCAGTATCCTCTAAAACTTGGAGTGGTGGAGAAAGAGAGGGAAAAAGATGTGCTTATCCCATAGAACTCTTGAGCTCTTTGAGGTTCCACAGAGCTCGGCAGGTTTGGGGTGTCTCTGCC